CCTCCGTGGGTTTGCGGAGAACTGTGATCTAGGGCTGTGGAAAATACTCTCGGGATTTACCCTCTAAAAAAAAATACTGCTTTTTAAAACCTGTGGGAAAAACGAAACAAAACCAAAACCAGCTACAAAAATTAGCAGAACATAAATGACACAAACGAAAATAAAGGATCAGAAAGAATGAAGAATAAAAGAAAAAAATACACATTGAAATAAATATATAAAACAAAAACTTGGGTCATAAGTCAACTCATGTCTTCCCATGAGGTTGTCAAGTCAAGTGAACTAGAATCTTTTTGATGGAATAAACGACCTTATGCAGCCCATCCATGACAAATCCAACATTTTTTCTTTGACCACAAATTACTGGAAAATAATTTAACATTCCATTCACATCGTATTTCTTTTCCTTTATTTGTTTTCCCCACCACCTTTCAAATGTGAAACCAAAATGGTGCCACCATAGAACAAGCCCAAAACATGTAAATTGATACCCCCTTTGACATGTTACATGTCAAACATACAAACTCCAATCCTTACTACGCATCCTCTGAGATGCAGTAAACATGGAAAGTAATCTTTTGTTAAATCAATAGCAAGGATTCCAGCCACCTTGTTACCTCAAATATCTTTTGACTGTCTAGCGGTGCCAAGGTCAGATTAAATAAAAGAGGAGAAAGTGGACAAATTCTGTGTAACATCCTAATGGCTGAAGAAACAAATCCATTTATGATAACTTAGCTAATGAGTTATATCACATTTTAATCCAATCAACAACATTGTATGAAAACTGCATTTAATCGGAGCGTGCTCCAAAAATTTTAACTGTAGCCTGTCAAAGACTTTCTCCACATCTAACAAAACAGCCGCTTCCAAATCCAGTTAATCTGATAGTATGCTAAGTATATCCACTAGTAATCTGATGCTATCCAATACCTGGGATCCTTTTATAAAATCAAAATGTGCATGATAAACTCTCAGAAGTAATATAATTTAGAGTCTTTGAGCTAAAGTCTCTGTCAACACTTTAGCATCTACATTTAATAAAGAAATTTGAAGATAACATGCACTCTGCAGGATCCTTACCTGCCTTCAGAATTAAAGATATAAAAACATAGCTAAAGGTAGATCAAAACACTTTACATGAAAAGGCATCCTTGCAAACCTCCAGAAATACAGGAGGAAGACAATAAAAAATACTTCCTGTCAATCAGTCAGAAAAACCATTGGAATCAGTGGCATTACCTAGTATCACTGGTTTCATAGTATTCATTTTTTCTTGAAAAAATAATAGTGCAGCTAAATAAATTGCTTGATCCAGAGTAATCTTTTATTTTAATTTTTTTGTACATCCCAAACAGTTGAATCAACATTATAAAGTTAGGTTTAAAAATAATGAAACTGCTGGTTTATGAGATTCAGATCTTTATATACATTGCCCTGGAATCCTTAACTGTAGGAATAATAGTGCTTTGCTGTTATTGTTTTAATTTAGAAACCAGTCATAGTCTGTTTTTTTAACACTTGCTCCCAATACACTTGATTTATACAATTCAAAAGATACCTAGAGTTGAGTGCATAAAAATGAGTAAGTTCCATTTATGTTCAAATACATTGCTGCCTTTATGTCTTCATTCAAGAGCTGACCCAAGCAATGATGAACAGATTTCTGAGTGGAGTCTTACTGATCATCTCTGAAACCAACTAGAGGCTGTCTTAAAGTGCAGTGAAGGCCTGGCAAAAAGCAATGAAGAGATGGTCTGCTCACCAAAGCAACTTGTTGGGTGCTTTGTTCGATAAAAAATCCAGTAAAATCAAATGGTGTGGTATTGCCTAGTTGTTGAAATGCTCAGTTTGTAGAATCTTCTGGTTGGCTACTATAAGACACAGGATGCTGGGAGGTGGGCCTTGGAGCCAATCCAGCCTAGTTTATGCATTGGATCTAGTCAGACTTACTGAAGAAGACATGCTGAAATCAAAGGGGTATCTTAATCTTGACTAAAAGCATGCCTTATAGCTTTGATTAAGTTTACTCTAAGTCTGGATATGTTTACAATCAGTGCAAACTGAGTCCTTTCCACTTTTAAGTTCCTGGCTTTTAATTACAAAATGAGATCCTCTCTCCACGTTTGTGTGTATGACTTACTTTTCTTCTTCTGTCTTTTCCTTCTTCTTCTTCTTTTTTTTTTAAACCCATCCCTTATGTTTAGAAAGTCAGAAAGATGCAGCCTAGGTTTGGTGGTCTCCTACCACCCAAACTTCAATAATTCTGTCTGTTAATTTCCTCCTTATAGATGCCTCATCACGTGTACTGTGATACAAGCACTGTCTTTTCCCTAAATTATTATTCTTACTTATGAATTCACTACTACTCCCACAAGCCATTAATTAGCACATTTTAGTTTACTCTGCCATACTTCTGCACAAATGCATTCATTGCCAGACAACGTCAGCATTAAATAAATCAGAGCATCACCTCTGATATGTTTATTTACCACCTTTTCAAAAGCATTATTGAATTACAGAATTGCTTACCACTGGCTTTGATTTAATCAGCTGCCAAAAGATTCCACCCCCACCCCAACATTTATAATAAATCAACCTGTTGCCCTATTGGAAATAGTAGCAATGTATATGAGCAGCAGAGCGTCTGTAATCTTGCTGGACTCTCATGCCATTTCTTGCTCCTGCACTGGCAGCTGTAATGTTCAGTCTTTTCCACACGAGTCAGAGTTAGCTGGAAGGGTTTTTGAGAGAGCAAGAGTACCATTTAGATTCATTTTTATATGAACCATGAGAATAGTCTTATCTCTCTACTAGTCACACATATCCTGTTTAACAACAATAAGTGTTGTTAGTATGGTCAGTACGCTGGGCAGGACCAGGGCCATCTGCAAGGAGAGCAAGGAGCCAAGATGACAGGCATGACTTTGCATGATCAAAGCCCTGCCCCATTGTACATGTAGGCAATGTCAACAGAAAGAGAAAGGGGCAGAGCTTCAATCATGTGGACATATCTGCTATTCTGCCCCCCCACCCACAGTCACCCCTGGTATGGGCAACTGTGGAGGGGGCAAGTGATATCAAATACTTTCTTACATCATTACAAAAATGATGTAAATGACATCCTTTTGCATCATGACATAATTGAGGCAGATCACCTAATGTACATCATGTCAATGGCACTATGACATCATGAGGCACATGAGATCACTAGGATTTCTTCAAACCTCCATACCAGTCAGAAACCCTTAAATAGGTATCAATTTTGCTTTCTCTTACACTACTTAAATTTTAAAATGTACAGGTTTCTTATTCTCACCCATTTTAAATGTTAAATACATAAAATTATTGGTTTCTTTCAATTATTGGTTGTTTCATATAGCTCTGGAATTTTAAAAGGATCTACTACTGAAATTTCAGTTCTTCCTACTCAGACAGATTGCTCCTGTCGAAGTCCCATATATACTGCCAGTTCAGGGCCAGGTGATTTTTTTGTGGTCAGGGGCTCCATTTTGCTTTGTAACTATCAGTGGGCCACAGTCACATGGGAACCATAATGAGGAGGCAAGGAAGACAGCAACATCCAAGTACCACCAAAGGATAAGACAGGTCCTGAAGAGCCAGCTCAATGGGAAGAACAAGACCCACGCCATCAACATGTCTTCTTGCCAGTCATCAGATACCCTGCCGGTATAGTGAGCTGGCCA